CTTGATAAAATTTTCCAGTTTCGCGCACTGTTATTTCGGTCCTAGTTGTGAAAGGTATTTCTCAAATTTACTACGTGTAAAATCCTATGTTTTAACTCATTACGAATGGTCTTTCCAATGAGATTTTTTTTTTATGCATATGACAATAATGTTAATCAAAATTACGCACATGAAATACTTAGAACGTTTCGAGTCTCATCCACTCATTCTAAATCATTGCCGAAACAAATTCAGGAATTAAAATAGAAATCCTCCCCAGTGGAGTCGCCAAAAACTGTAGGGAATATTTCAAGCATTAACCCCTTGCTTGAACCCCACTGTGATCATACACTAAAGTACGGTGGCGTCCAAAGGGAAAGAAGATAGAGCAAAAGAGTCACCAACAAGTTTTAGGAACTTGTAAACCGTTCACAGGGTGAAGGTTACACCCCTTAACGATCCAAGAGATCGTCAACTCCATAAGGTCTTGAACCAAATAGGGTTCGGCGATGAAGGTACAAATCCAACCAAAAAGAGATTGAACCTGCCCTAATAATAGGCCTCTACTTTATTCTGATCGTATTCATGTGCGCTTTCTGACTAACATACAATCAATAGGTTTTACCCTAAACCTGTTTATCTATGTTGGTTGAATATTAATACACAAATAAATCTATTATTGGCGATCACTTGGATTATAATCCAATTAACCCTAAACAAGATTATTAATTATCTTATTAAGCGTGATTACAAGTACAAATTCCCTTTAAACATGCAAAAAAGGCGTGATCAAGCAATAAATAAATTTCATCAAGCAACATAATAATAATAATAATATATAACAATAATAATAATTATAATTAAAATAATCATGTTAAAGCATAATAATAGCAAGATCCTAGGCATGATACTAACAAGATTAATAACAAACCCTAACATGTCACTAAACAATAAAAATCAAAGCTTTAGCCCTAACATGATACTAACAATCATAAATATTAGGAAGAAAATAAAAGGCATCGTAACAATCATATTTAGTATTAAAGTTACCCTAGACATGATACTAGGAATCATAATAACAACCTAAGCATGAACACTATATCATAACATCAATAAAAACCATTAAAGTACTTACTTTGATGTCTCGTACCTCTTTCTAATAACAAAATACACGCGTTAGTAACATCAAGGAAAATAATAAAAACAAACAATTAAATTAAATAATTGAAACAGAGATTTGGGACCAAACCCTCAGACATTAAAACCTTTCACGTCTAGGGCGAATGCAACTTTGAATTATGCTAGGTGTTTCTAAGTCTAATGAATGCGGAATTTTTGTATTTGTGAAAAAGCTGGTTTAGAAAAGAGAGAAAGAAAGAATCTTGATGAGAGTTGGTGAATTAAAACGGAGTTTTTACGACGTTATTTATAAAGAAAATCAGCCAAAAAGATAAAATATCAAAACAGAGTTTTGGTGCACGTAAAACTGGAATAGTGCCAACGGTGGCTATTGGCGCCAGACGCCAACATTAGCGCCAGGCGCCAATGATAGCGCCAGGCGCTACAGCTGGCGTTTGGCGCTGATTCAGAAAATCACGCGTTTTCTTAAAATCAGATAAAAATGCCGTACAGGAGGATAAAATCGTATTTCCCTAAAAAATGCTCTTTGGTTTTAATTAAAACTCTGAAAAGTCAACAAAAGTCAATTTATCAATGCTAATTGAATTAGGAATGAAAAGAACCTTCTATAAGAATCTAGATGACTAAAACCATTCCTAATTGCATTAGGAATGATAAATCCATATTAGGCCCTCCTCTAGATCATTGAGCCGCATATAAGGCTCAAACCGGGCCCAATTCAGTAATTTGGCCATAATTTCCTCAATATTCATCGAAATTGGGCTTATAATATATCGTTGGAAAGCTCTTGTCAAGACCTATCCAACTACACTAATATTGGACCCATATCATGGACCAACCAAATTGGATTGACTGTTTTCTTAAAATAAGTTTTCAAAAACAGAGATAAGAGAAAAGAAATTAAAACTATCCGCAACACTAGACTTTCCACACTTTCACTTCATTCGATTATGATTCGACGTGAAAGGTACTCATCACTGGGTTTTGTTTTGGGGAGACACAAATGGGTGTCTACAATAGGCTATGTGAAGAGGAAGTCAAATTTAAATGATTGAATTCAAATTTTATTTTTTTCTCTGTGTCAATTTGGTATAACCAAAATCTATTGTTTTTGGTGCAGGGATCAAGCCACAAATGATCAGAGATAATAGGTACCACTTCTTTAGACTTTAACCAACTAAAATAGTTTATTTATAATAAATTATATTTGTATTTCTGTTAATAACTTTGCATAAAACTATGATTATGTTGTGCCAAGTTAGAGATTGCCACTTTGTCATTGTACATTCTTACTCCACCAAATTAAATCTATATCTATATCTATATCTATATCTATACTTAGTATTTAAAAACACAAACCACAAATTTTTCATATGACACATGGTATCACAATTCACAAGTCACTCATCACCTCATATGCCATATATGGTTTCCCTTAATATTTATGTTTAAGATGCATTATACAACTTGCAAATTCAAGTAAGAAAATGAAGTGTTTTATTTCCACCATAATAAAATAATGTTTTAATTAATACACATTACATAAACATATAAATTATAATAAAAATTGTCTTTTCAACACCTAGACTTTAAATATAATTTAAAATAAATGTCATTTTATATCCTACAATCTTCACGTGTATATATTTAATAACTAAATTCCTTCATCTTCTTTCATGGTTCTACCCTCACTTTTTTTTTCTTTTAACTTTTAGAAATGAAACAATCTTCCTACATATGAAAATAATTAACCCCAGTAACAACCCGTGCATTGAACGGGCCAAAAAGGCAGTCATATCTTAATAATTGAACATTCTTTAATTGATGATGGTCTTTGAATCTTATGTACAATTTAAAAAACATTATGCGTGCATTAGTTATTCTTAAATCACATACTTTGTGTTAATTAATGGTCTTTATTTCGTGTTTTAATTATGATAATAAACATGTTTAAGTTATCAACTTATGGCAAAGTTTTGTTTTTGACGAGTTATAACACAAAATATAGTTTATTAATACCATGAATGTAATGAAAAGTGCACAAAATTATAAATATAGAACAGTCCAACTTACGTATCCGACATGAAGGTGCATTGTTGCCTTTACGCTTAGGTGAAATACAATGACACCTTTTTTCGTTCTAATTGTTTATCATTGCTCGTAAAAAAGTACACTTTTTCTTGTTCCTTTATTATTAAGTTTGTTATATTGTAAATAACAACCAATTTATTAAAAACATTTAAAAAACCGTTAACATGTATATAAATAATATTCATCATGAGACATTACCCCCATTAAATTTATAGGTAATTACGAGAATTAGTGGTAAAGATCTAAAATTAATCTTATGGATTATTGTCGTTTTATCCCAACCCCTTTAATATTCTATGTTACTGCAGAAGTCATTTATAATAAGGTGTTCTCTTTATTCTAAACGCAATGCTTTATAGATTAATGGATGTTAGAACATTTATGGTTGTAGGGAGTAATTAAAGGTGTCAAAAAATGGTTCGACAGCCTCATTTAAAACTGACCCTAACAAAACCTAGTCTAGATTTTAACTTATATCGACACAACAATTTAGCATGATTCAAATTTGAATTAGATCTAATCAGACCTCATCGGAAACCCGATCTAGGTGTCTGAATTGACACTTATAGGAGTATTATATATTTTGACATTAAGTGTAAAAATAACATAATATAATTAAGGAAATTATGAAAGGAAGGTAAAGCAAGAGAAAGGCGGAGAGATTTCCAAGTGGGGACTTGTTAAGGATTTGGTTAGCAGAAAACAGCGACCCTGCTCAATAAGAAGGTGACCTTACAACTATATTGGTTGTTGAAATCTCTCCTAACGCCAATCCACACATTCCTTTGCTTATCATTATGTTTTTTTATTACCATTTTACCCTTCTCCTTCTTCCTTAATCACCTCATTACCACTCATCAAGAGTCTAGAGTTGGCTAAAGGAATTTATATCTAGGCAAAATAATTCCTATTGTAAGGCAAAAATAAATAACAATCACAATTTCAAGTTGGATGATCCTTAATTACTTCATAATCCGCAGGGAGATTCTTATATATGCACCGACCCGGAGATGTGCAATAACATGTCAATATGCATAAGATGCATCTAACTTTAGATGCATATAAAAATGCACATAATTATCAATACTGCGTAACTCGTTTTGAATTATAATATTCATCATGCTTTTCATATTTGCCGACTCGCTTGAGTTGTATTATGTATACTTACTAGATTTTATTTTATCTCATTATTTGTTAGATGTTTGTCTCTTTATCCTATATGAAGGATCCGCTTCAAACATATTCCTTTTTACCCACATGTATATCCTATTTTAAGCTTTTAACACTTCTTTCTTTGAGAAAATACAAATTTATCTCCGTTACAGAGACAAAAGGGTAACTTTGGTGGTAAAAGATGGGCCAAAGTCGCTACTTGCTTCACATTTTGTTTCATGATAAACAAAACTCGTCTATCACAAAGATTAATTGGGACAACCTCTTTTTCTTAATTTATGAGCAAATATTAACCACAAAGAACATTTGAAGCACATGCAGGTACGAACTATTTCCTAACCAAGAAAATTATTAAACATGCATCTTCTCTTTTTCTTTTACACATGTACAAAATATAAATGTAGTGCATATTATAGATGTTTCACTAAAAAAGTTATCTAAATTTCTATACGAACAAAATTGCATGCAACATGGCAATTTGTAAATCACTACATATAAAAGGGCAGATTAGACATTTCATAAGTACTCCAGAATCTTGATACCAACTACATGAGTAAAGCACATTTACATTTTATATTTTAAATTAATTTTAGCACCAACAGCATGAAAAATAAGCATCAATATATCTTCAAAGGAATGCAATGTAAATTCACTCAAAAGAAGAGGCCGGCATTAGACACATGGAAATATGTCAATGGTCCAACAATCCTTAGCTTATTCTCTATAGTAATCCTTGCTCTAATTACACTTACTATTTCCTCTAACCACTACAAATATCCCTCCTAATTATGATTTAAACCTTAGTTTAAGAGCAATAATTACTATAAAAACTATAGGAAGTAGTTTGCAATATACTTAACCTATCGAGATTCCCTTTTTATATTGTGGTTTGTACTCTATGAAAAGTTCCTACAATTTGTTGGAAAAGCTTGGGTTATACAAGATGTTCTTGAAGGCAACACCATCCAAGGCTTTAGTTATTAGAATCAATGTTATCTTCTTTGCTTTCTTTCTTGTTGCATATTGCACCCTTCTTCTTCGGCCCTCTTCCCCATCGGTTTATCAAGATAAAGTCGCGTCTTCATTCCTTGTAAGGTGCTCCTTACGAGAATGTCATCACAAGGTAAGGTGAGCTTACCCTATACAGTCAAATGATCACCCTAGTGGTGTTTAGTGTATCTGAAATTTGGAGTGTCAACATTTTAATAAAATGTAACACAATAAAAAAGGTAAGGGTCATTTTTAATCTATATCAATTTTGTACATGTAATCTAAAAGTTACAGTAATAGATGTCAACTAACTTAGTTGGTTAAAGTTTTAGATGATATTTAAAACATATCAAAATTCGTCTATATTATTACCCTTAGAGTAATTTGCCCTAGCTAGTGGTGTTCAGTGTATCTTAACAGTTAACACTACGATTTGTTGTGACTTATTTTGGTTAAACTTTGATGATTATAATAGGCAGCGGAAAGTGGAGTCAAAATGAAAGCAGTTTTAGAAGATCAAGGAGGAAATCAAATGATAAGCCCTAAGAAGACTATAGCAAGAAGAGAAAAACCAAAGTTCTTGCAAGAAATGGGAATAAGAGGAATGAAAATCGGCGCAATAAACATGGAGGATGAAGATCTTAGTGAATGGGAAGTACACGGAGACACAATAGTTAAAGTCCCCTTTGAGAAGGTCTCGGAGCTTTTCGAGTGGAAACACCTTTTCCCTGAATGGATCGACGAGGAAGAAGAGAATGAAGGCTTTCTATGTCCTGAAGTCCCAATGCCTACATTCGAGGAGTATGGAAATCTAGACATGTTGGTGGCTAACTTGCCTTGTAACTTCCCGGAGAAAGGGTGGGCAAGGGACATGTTTAGGCTGCAAGTTCATCTGATAGTTGCGAACATGGCGGCGAAGAAGGGGAGGAGGGATTGGTATGGGAGGACAAAGGTGGTGTTGTTGAGTAAATGTAGACCAATGTTGGATTTGTTTAGGTGTGATGATTTGGTAAGAAGAGAAGGAGATTGGTGGTATTATGAGCCAGAAATGGTGAAGCTTGAGGAAAGAGTTTCTTTGCCTATGGGTTCATGTAATTTGGCTTTGCCTTTGTGGGGACAAGGTATGCTTAATTCTTACTCTATATGCTTGGTAATCTCACTTAGTTGGCCTTGTATATATAGCTTAACACAATCATTACTTTAGGACTTTATTCTTAACCTTGTAGGAAATTGATTTGGTTCTAGCTTGACTTGTGTTGATGATATACTATTATCAACTAGTCCATCATACGATGATAATGAAGTCAATATTTGTATGACATGTTTGCATCGAGCCATCGACTAATCTACTAAATACTAAGCGTGTTTTTTAACTCATAAAATATATTTTTTTTCATGACATTGCTGATGTGGTGTTACCATAATTTATACGTGTTAGGTGGTCGTATTATATTGTTACATGTATAAGTTGCATTGTTTAAGTGTATCGTTTCATGTTAGATATATTCAATTATGCATCATTAAAAGTAGCAAAATCATTGTTCACATGAAAAAAAAAATATAAATATGTCGCGTCAGGTAGGGGTCGAACCTACGACCTTCTGCTTAGGAAACAGACGCTCTATCCACTGAGCTACAGACGCTTCTGATGTCATAGAAAATACAAAACATTATATCTAATTGTATTACAATGTTACTTGTCATTTACTTAAAGTAGTAAAGTTGGTAATTATACTATTTTTCTTAATGTAATAAATACATTATCAATTTTTTTTTATTTTGTGACAAGTGATCCTTTATAATTTATTAATTAATTAAATGTTAATTTTGTGTTTGTTAATTGATGATAGGGGTAAATGAAGTATATGATGCATCAAACATAGAACAAAGCACAAGAAAACCAACCAAACGAGAAGCCTATGTCACGATACTACACTCATCTGAAAGCTATGTATGTGGTGCAATCACCTTAGCACAAAGCCTCCTTCAAACCGGCACGAAACGAGATCTAGTCATACTTATAGACAAAGCCATCTCCCTCCCTAAACGAAAGGCTCTTGTCGCGGCTGGTTGGAAGATTCGACTCATAAAAAGAATTCGAAACCCTAGAGCCGAGAAGGGCACGTACAATGAGTACAATTACTCCAAGTTTAGGCTTTGGCAACTCACGGACTATGATAAGTTAGTCTTTATCGACTCAGACATAGTTGTGCTACGTAACTTAGACCTTTTATTCTATTTCCCACAAATAACCGCGACAGGCAATGATGGCTCAATATTTAATTCAGGGATCATGGTACTCGAACCTTCTAATTGTACATTTCGTACCCTAATGGGGCTACGTAAGGAAATTACTTCGTACAACGGAGGTGACCAAGGGTTCTTAAACGAAGTCTTCGTGTGGTGGCACCGCCTTCCTAGGCGTGTTAACTTCTTAAAGAACTTTTGGTCGAATTCTTCATTAGAAGCAAGTGTAAAGAACCACTTGTTCGAGGCCGATCCTCCTAAGCTATACTCCATACATTACTTAGGCTTGAAGCCATGGTTATGTTATAGAGATTACGATTGTAATTGGGACGTGGCTGATCAACATATATACGCGAGTGATGTTGCACATAAGAGATGGTGGAAGTTGCATGATTCAATGGATGCTAAGTTACAAAAATTTTGTGCACTTACTAAGTTAAGGAAGAGGGATTTGGAATGGGATAGGAATAAAGCCAACAAGTTAAAAATTAATGGGGATCATTGGAAAATCAATATTACTGATAATAGAAGGTTTGTTAAGCAAGAATTATTGTAAGTAAATGGTTTTGTTTTTGTAGAAATGATATTTTTGTATGGTTTTGGCTTCATTTATCAAATTCATTTCATACTTTTGTAATTTATTATCTTGTGTAGAGGTATGGATTATCTTAATATGAGTCGTACATTATATATTCCACTCTCAAATGAACAAGTTTTGGCGTCCCCCTAAAAAGACCATAATACATTAATACCGTTCATGACCAATGTTGATAAAAACAAGATTTATTCAATAAGAAATTTATAAAAATATTAATATCCTGAACTATTTATAGTAAAAGGCTAGGGGTACACTAAGTGTGCAAGATTCCTTTTGTACACCACCAATAAAAAAACGCCAACTCATCAATGTAATAATGGAAACTAAAAAAAGAAGAGGGAAAGGAAAAAAAAGAAGAGGGAAAGATGAGCGCCAAAATTTTCAGCCTAGGGCGCCATTGTGAGGAAGGTGAGAGGCAAAATTTTCAGTGGGCGGCAACAATTAATAGATAATACAGCATTAATTTCCCAATTAAGCATCAAAATTTCCTATCTTCTCCCCCAAAATTTCATCTTTTCCCCCAAAATTCCTTGGCGAAGAACACATCCAATTTGAATAAGGGAAGAATTGTGAAAAAATTATTCAAGTGTGGATATTAATTTCGTCAATCAGTTACAAATATTCGCAGATAATCTTGTTAGTTGCTGAATTATTTCGTTTAAAATTCCTAATTTGATGATTTTGATGATTTAGGGTTTTCATTGTTTGATTTTGAAGTAGATCATTTTTGGGTAAAAATTAGGTTTTTATAAAGATTAAATTGAAAGGGTAAATCATTTAGATTAATAGATTGATTTTTATGTTGTCTTTGGTTTTGTTTCTTGTGGGATGTTATTTAATTGAAGGAGTTTTCTGGGTTCCATTGTAATGGAAGCAATTGTTAAATGGAATCGAGGTTTATTTGCTGTCAATAATTTGATAGCATCTGTTTTTTATACGTAGGATCATTTTGTCATATTAAATTAAAATATAATTTTATAGTATCTTTTTTTATTTTGTTGAATCTGAAATAAATAACAGTAGTGTGTTTGACATTGTGGCAGTGAAATGGAATGCAAAAACATGTCCCCTCGTTTGAACATTAATCTTAATGAAGTGATAAACGATGTGATTAGCTCAATCGGAGATGCAGATCGAATCAAACGATGTAACAGAAGAAGAAGCAACAATGCATGCCATTCGATTATTAATGAAGAAGCTGAGGTTACCAACATTAGTAATGAAGAGATTAAGGTTGAGGTTAATAACAATATAAATGAACATGATTCTCATAATCGGTCAAACAGAGATGAACAAGTCAATCGTACTCCGGCTGTGGGTATGTATCTTGCAAGCAGTGAAGAATTTACAAGGTTTTGCCATATGTATGTCTTTGAGAAAATGTTTGTATTTGTATGAATTAGATATGAATCAGTAAGCCAATATTTAAATTGATCCTGTTAATACCATTTTGATGCTGTTTAAATTCGGAAAGATGTTGTTTTATGGAATTTGATGCTCAGAAATGCGGAAAGGTTTTGGGTTTGTAGTGGGAGTTTCATAATTTCAGATTTAAAGAAACCAGACCTCGAACTGTTTTATTGACGATTGGTAACATTAGTATTTAAAAGTACTAATTATTATTAGGACGTTACTATTTATGGGTAATAGGTGAATGAAATATAAAATGCAAACAAAAATAATAATAATTGGTATATTGAATTTAAATTAATCATGACTCGAATTATTTTATTGATAATTAGTATCATTGATATTTAAAAGTCTAATTTAAAATGGGAAACATTAGTATTTATGGCTATTATATATGTGAATGAAAACTAAAAATAAAACCCAAAAAAAAAATGGAGTAGTTTGGATTCGAACACGGATCACTTATACATAATAGGAAAGCATTCACCAACTACACCAAGGGGTATCAGCACATATATTATCGTATTATTTATTTATTTGTACTATTTATATTTATGTCAAATATATTAGATGATTCTATTAAAGACAATATGATTCCTTAAATGGTAATAATACGGTTATTAATATATTATGATGATTATTGTATGTTGTTGTTTGGTTTAATAATGAGTTTCAACAAAAAAAAAAAAAAAAAAAAAAAAAAAAAAAAAAACTTAAATATATTAATCAAAGTGAGATATTTTAATAGGCGGTCAAATTTAAAACTATTTCAATTGCACACCGTCATTCGCTAAGGGTTTGTTCTCTTCGCCTTATAAAAATAATTTTTAGATCTAATAAGTTCAGATTAGTTCAGATAAGTTATAATAATGTCCAATAAGTTACATAAGGTCTAATAAGTTACATTAAGTTAAATAAGGTCTAATAAATTTCAATAAGTTCTAATCAAGTCTAATAATAAGGTCTAATAATAAGTAGGAGTGTCCATTCGGTTTTTGGTTTGAATTTAGCCCAAATTTCATGTGGCACTGACATTTAGCTTTGGAAATAGTAATTAGGAGAGAAAAAGTAATTTCCCTTTTCACCATTAGCGCATACTTAAAGTTTCTTCATCTCCTTCAATATAATAAAATTTGATATATTCATTCGTCTACTGATACTAAACATATTCAGTGAATACTTTTATTAGTAACTTGATACCAAGAAATATAATTTAAAAACAAGTCTATGGCACCACTTGACTCTGCATCTTGTTTCATTCAATATCGACTACATACATTAAAAATATAAATAAAATGAATGTATTGAATATTTGATCTCATGACCATTATAGTTTATAAGACTAACAATGCAAAATTTATTATATTGTTATTTTAAAAACTAATATACTTGACTAATATAAATATTTAATAATTCTTATTATAAGTAATATTAAAATAAGTCACGGTGGACTTAAAGTAAACTAGGAATAGCTGAAATAAAATTGAAAATTATACCACTGAAATTAATTAGGGCTCTATTGTCATAAAAATATTTAGATAATAAAATACAAAGTCTATTGTACGCACACTTTATTGTAAAGGAAGAAACAAAAGTTAAAATGGTAAGAGATATTAACATGAATTCATCATTATAAATACTCCGCATATAAGTCAAGAAGGGGTAAAAATATAACATTAGTGAAGGGCTAAAAAGAATTGAAAAATGATGCTACTAAAATAAGAATTCATTTTCAAATTATAGCCTAGAATATATACAAGAAATTGAAATATGATTTGATATTAATAAATGTGTTAGGATCCTGAATTCATTTTTCAATCTTAAATATATTAATCAAAGTGAGATATTTTGATAGCGGTCAAATTTAAAATTATTTCAATTGCACACCGTCATTACTAAGGGCTTGTTCTCGTCACCTTATAAAAATAAGTTTTAGGTCTAATAAGTTAGATCAGTTATAATAAGGTCCAATAATAAGTTAAATAAGGTTTAAGAAGTTACATTAAGTTAAATAAGGTCTAATAAATTTCAATAAGTTCTAATCAAGTCTAATAATAAGGTCTAATTAGTAGGGGTGTCCATTCGGTTTTTGGTTTGAATTTATCCCAAATCTAATCCGATTCGAAATAATTTTAATTTTCAATTATAAAATCCAACCCGGTTTGAATTCCTCACCAAATCCACTCTAATTCAAACCGATTTAAAATTCGGTTATTTGGATTCGATATGAGAGTGCAAATTAAAATACGTTTCAAATATTTTGGGCCTAATGCGAAAATAAAAATTAAAATACAATAATAAAAAAATTAATTCTTAAAAGTATAGTTGTACACGATTAATAAAATTATTGAAAACGTAAGTAGGTTACATGATAAATAGTAATAATTATAATAATAGTTTAGCATGATTATATTAACAATACTTATTCATAAACTAACGATTTCATATTTAATTTATTTCGGTTTTTTTTGGATTCAAACAAAGTCAATCCAATCCAATTCGAACGTCCGAATTTTCAAAAAAATTCAATCTATCTAATTCGATTTAAAGTTCGAATCCGATCCGAATTAATAATTCAGTTTTGATTTGATTAAATTTCGAATTTTAATCGGAATGATGGATACTTGTACTAATAAGGTCCAATAAGGAACAATAAGTTCAAATTAGTTTAGTAAGGTCTAATAAGTTCAATAAGGTATAATAAGTTTGATAAGGTGTTACAAAGTTCCAATAAGTTTCATGACTTTGAAATACGGTGTAAGTTTTGATTTTACAAATACAAATATGATTCCTTTAAAATTAATATTAATTATTTTTGAGTTTTTAAATACCAAAATGATACTTAAAATGAAAATTTATAAAAAATAAAAGAACAAAACGTGTTTCTTTATACCTCCATAAGATTCGAACACAGGACGACCATCCATAGTCATTCAAGGGTTTTGTTTATTACTAGACTAAGGGGTATCAGCACATACATTGGATGAAAACAAATTAGTTTTTATAGTGTATCTATTAGACTAAATTTCCTGGCTTATGCTCATAAATAAGGGGGGTGTTAAATACCGCCATCCAAAATTATCAAAATCGCCAATATTTATTGTGAATGGACAATCATGTCCTTAGTACTTCATTACTATCTTCCCTCTTGCCATCAATCACTAACACCTTGACACCACCACCCTAATTGACGACTAACACCACCCCCACCACACTGACCGGCGACGATCACCACCGCACTAGCGACCCACCACCTTCCCTCTTTTTTTTATATTTTTTATTTTTAAATTTCAGATTTTCAGGCAATCGCGGTAACCAAAGCCCAAAATCAATTACCGTGTATGGTAAACGGAGCCCAAAATCGGTTACCGTGCATGGTAATCGGAGCCCAAAACCGGTTACCGTGCATGGTAACCGGTTTTGGGCTCCGGTTACCATAGAATCGATTAAGGTGCACGGTAACCGGAGCCCATAACCGGTTACCGTGCATGGTAACCGGAGCCCAAAACCGGTTACCATGGGCTCCGGTTACCACGCACAGTAACCGGTTTTGGGTTCCGGTTACCACGCACGGTAACCGGTTTTGGGCTCCGGTTACCACGGTTGCCTAAAATTAAAAAAAAAAAAAAAAAAAAACCACCACCTTCACGCCGACCAGGGAAGGTGGTGGGTTGTCATAGAGGG